CCTTCCACTAGTGGCTACTTCCCTCCTTTCTTCAGAAGGGCGAAAATCAGATTGACTTTTAAATAAGGTGGAAATGGTGAATTGGTGTTCGCCTCTGCCCTCACACGCAGTGAATTGCAAGAGACGATGGCTCAGAAACAGAGATTCACCCTTTTACACTGCGAATGACGACAATTGCAGTAGCAAAAGCGCTGAGGCCATATTTGTAAGCTCTAAGTCCTTTTTACGCACGAAGTTTTACATCGTTAGCACAAATGCCCACATTCGAGCGTTTTAATCCGTTGGTTTAAGCGATTAGATTTCCGACTTACGTTCGTCTTGGTATGTGCCAACGTGATCTTTTTTTATTTGCTTAACTCGTCATTTTGCAATGCCATCATCTCCGTAATTCCACTAGATTATTCTCCTCTCTAATACCATTACTATATTTTCTTCTTCAGGATAAACTATGGGCGCTACTTTACTAACGTTGAATCGCTCTCCAACATTCCTCTGAATGCTGACATTAGGTAGGCTTTTAAATGCCATACAACGCTCATTTAATTTGAGTTACCTCCACGAACATTCTACTAGATTGCAATGAATAATAGAGAACTTATTGTAGACGTAATTCTAAGGAAAACCATATGCTTATCTAAAGTTTCTAGATTTGTTAAGTTAAGGAGCTGCTTCACTTGGAATCTCCGCCACAAATGAGGGAATTTTATTTCAGTGACAGAGGTGATATTTCGGTTGCTTCAAAACTTAATGCCCTAAGAGAGGTGGGTATTTTCCAGATCCACTAATCACTGAGTGACTTGATTCAATTCCAAGAAAATGTTCGTGAGTTTGTCGCCTGAAACATGGACAGGAATAATCTGATAAATTCCAGCAGCCCTGCCGAATTTCCTGGTGAAGACTAAGAAGATGCGTAACACTATCTCAAATTGCACTCTTGTGAATCACTCTTAAGCGCAAACCTTAATTCACACACTAATGTTATCGACTGAAATTGTTTATTTGACTACCTGACGTTCGGCGTTCACTTTAAGATTTGTCTGGCCCTTGTACTTGTGAGCTGGCCTTCGGGCCATGCGCAGGCCCACTTAATCTGTTCTTCTCGGAATATATGTTTCCAGCCTCACTTACTGCCTGCTTCCACCCTTTGGGAAGTCTCGGGACGCCACAACAACACCTTTAAAAAGCCGGAATGACGGTGCAGATGTTTGACTTTGTTCACCACCCCTGCATACTCTACTGATCCATTTGGAGTTCAAAGTCTCCTTTGTTTCTCAGGCGCTATCCTCGAGTGTAGGTTTACCTCGTTAATGGGGAAAGAGCTTCGATTTTTGATGCCGTTCTAGGGAGTCATAGGGAATGGGCTTGCAGTAATAACAATTTTAACCTCGGCATAGTCCCAAGACCATAGATTTTATTGGTTTGAATAACAAGCAAGATTGAGAATAGCCTCCAATTGAGCTATTCAGCCACATAAAAAGTTCAAAGTGAATAAGTGATGAATGCCTTTAGTAAGACACAGCCAAAACAGCAAAACGGATTACACCAAATCTAATGAAGTGTTATTAAAAAAGCAGATCTAAATGCAACACAGGACAAGGCATCGGCCAATACAAACAACTTGGAATTAGGACGGTAGCAGCTAATGCGTCATCCACGAGACTAGACAAGGGTACCGATGTCACTTTTTTCTAACAATTTTAAGCACTTGCTTGCATTTTAATGTATTTAATAATATAATCTTTGGTCTTTAAGATATTTTTTGTCTAATAACAAGACATATATGTTACAGATGAAGACAAATTTCTGTTTCAAACTCACCTCCATAATTAAGAGTGTTCGCACTATACATTCTCGGCACTTTTTGAGCGATTCGCCTGTGTTATGAACCAATACATACTACAATCCAAATTTCTTAAAGTATTTAAAATTTTGAAGCCTAGATAATTGTGTCCTGCCTATTTTCGATATTTTTACACATAGGTGTAAAATCATTTGAATTATATCACGGTGTGATATTTATGCACTGACGAAAAGACATTTTCGAAATTTTCTTATGTGTTATTATAAATAACATGACCTAACTAAGTTATGGCGTCCTTTTAATGTAAACACTTGACCTATTTCCACTAGCTGTTTCATCGGTTTGCTATTTTTCTTGTATTTAATGGTTGCTTTTCGGCGGAGATTTTTGCGCTGACCTCAAACAATTTCACAAAATGGAGGTAGTAGAACAGCTTAAATACAAAACATCGCGCATATTTTCACAATCTCCCCGAGATAATCTTTCATCTGAAAAAACTAAACGGTGCTTCGGTGCTTTGCGCGAACTCTCAACGGCAATGACCTACACCATGTCTTGTGACCCAAATGTTGTTCAGATTATTGGGTCTGATAACTGCGTTAATTACTTTGTTTCTGCTTTAAATCTCATAATGGATGAGTTGCCAAACTATTCAACGAAACAGTTTGAAGAGCCTATGATATCCAATTTCATTACTCTTTATGCAGTTTTATGGAATGTGACCGACAAAAGCTGTGATGTATGTAACCGTTTTGTACTGGCAGACGCGTATATAACTATGTGGAAACTGCTTTCCAAAGAGGAACTCTCTTCCGCCTTCTACAAATATACCAATGCTAGGCTGCTCGTTCACTGTTCCCTGGGTATACTTCACAATTTACTTCTGTACTGTCCTCGAGCACGGGATGACTACCGCGCTTGTGGTGGTGTGAAAATTTTGGATCCATACGTTGTTGACGCTTATGTCTCGGAGAATTATGACTATGACTTGCTTATTTCTTTGAAGACGGCTGCTCTTTTTACTTTGGCTGCGATTGTGAATGAAAATGAGAACATCTCTATCATTACAACGGACCAAGGTGTGCTAACTTATATTCTTTCAGCACTGCGGGACTCTTTACAATCACCACCCGACTATTATTCGACAAATTATGGTTATCACGCAGCTGAGGTTTTTGGGTGTCTCAGCTGTCTAGCTAGTCTTGAATCGAATAAAAGAAGCCTTTTTGAAAACAATGCTTTGGAGCTTATATCCACTGCTCTTCAGATCACACTGATGGTGAAGAATGGTTCGATTAAAATGGTTCCCAAAACATCGACAAGCTCAAGAGACAGCTACAAGTTTTCTGAAGACGTGTTGGCAAAAGAAGCTATTGATTTACTATGGCACTTAACCTGCCTTCCTGAGGCTCGTGATCAACTCAAAGAAACATCAGATTTGTACAAACTTTGCGCTCAATTCAATGACGTAAAATGGACGGCTGAATGTCGGAAGTCAGTGCAGGCACTGCTTTGTACGCTCTCACAGCAGCGAAACTGGTTGGATGAGTGTGGAAATCTTGATACTTCTGCAATTACTGCATCTCCAAAACCACGCGGTCATGTGATGATAAGCTACAACAACATGGCGCAGAATCTTGTATCCAAGCTGAAGGAAGCCCTCACTTTACGGGGCTGGAATGTGTGGATTTTTACTGAGCATTGCCGTACGATTTGATTTTTAACTGCGTGTACATTGCTTTTATATCCTAGTCCTTGAAGTAGCCTCACATTCACCCTATGATACACATTCTTAGAAGACGATTGAGGTTCGCTAAATTTCAATTGTTCGATCATTTGTGCAACAATATTATTTTCTTGCATTTAGTTACACTTACATTAATTTCCATTGTCAATGTCTTTGTTCCATAAACGTGTTTACATTGAATAATTGCTTCTAATAAAACGCTCATGGGTTCACAGGGCCTATAGGTTGTTTTTTTCCTTACAATTGACTGGAGCTTTCCAATGGATACTGGATCAGTGAGATATTGCAGCTGTGACTCAATGGTCCATATTTATCAACCGCACTTATTAAAGGGACATCAAATCTTCTAGGAGCCACAAGTAATGATTACATCACCCCGATCCTCAAATATGACTAAATCGGCTAACTTAAAGGATAGTTATTTTAGGCGGAGGTCTTTGTGCCTTTTACTTAATTTCGCGAAAAATAGTCGTTGCAACCAAGTACTACTTCGTGGGAAAATGTGAGAAAATGTTGACATCAGTTAATTGGCCCAAATAATTGCCTCGCGCTCACTTTATTTTGACTTGCTCATCCATTTTGTTGCCCTCCTTCACTAGTAGGCTGGAAAGTCTGTCGGTGTATAATGATATAGAGATCGGTCATTTTAAAAAAAACCACTGACTTCAGTGGAATGTAGCTCATTGCTTTTCGGTTGTAGTGATGGAAGTATTCGCGAAATCATGTGAATGCATTTGCTTAATTTTTCTATGCAGAGCATGGGTCATTTCTAGAACAAATGGCCGAAGCAGTTTTCGATTCTGCCGCGTTGATCCTCTGTTTGAGTTCCTTCTACAACAATTCCTGCCACTGTATCAAGGAAGTGATATCAGCCTATGAGTATCGCATACCCCTGCTACCAGTAGTAGTGGAGAGCGACTACGTTCCAATCAATTTTCTTCGCTTTCTCCTCACTGGAGTGCAACCAATCCAGCTCTACAATGACTATCAGGTGGATGATGCGGCAGACAGGTTGACAGAGCAACTACGGTGCTATGGAGTGATGCGAGAGGGTACCAACGTGAGCCAATCGCGCCCTTCACCGTGCTGCTCCTCCCAGCCCAGTTCATTTCCCTCCATATCGGCAGACGCCGTCAAGAGGCATCAGCGGTCTCGCTCTGACTGCCTTAACGGTATATTTGCAAATCGCGACTCCTCCAAGCCAACACAATCATCCATTTCAACGGGTAGGGCTCAGTTTTGCCCTTCAGCACATTAAAGCACCATTTTTCGCTTAGTTCACGCCTCATCAATGTCAAACTCTGTCTGGCTTTCATGCAGTTGGCGTAGTTAGCCATGTTATAGTTTCCACAGAGCAGTAGACCTGTGAAACTGAGGTTAGTCTATTATCACCACCCACGTGTACGTGGGATGATACGATGTGTTAACAAACAAATCTTAGCATTTAAATTATTAGTGGCTATTGCCTTTAAAAATGGCGTTTGACAGCTCAGAATTATACTGGCCTTTAATCTATGAATATTTGGTTTTACCGCGCCTGACAGCTGGGGTGGCTATAGTCACTGCATGCACCCTTCCTTGCTTGAAGGAAAGATGTAGGCCATTGGTTAACTCTTTCTTTCGAAATAGCGACTATGACATTTTTTCATTGGCATTTATTCGATTCCTCCCACATGATTTTTTGACACACACACACGGCTGACTGCGTTTAGTTTTGCTGCAATTATTAAGCAAATTTGGCTACACATCTCGAATCATTCACGAGATCGATTAGACGTGATTAACCTCGCCACTTTTCTTGCTCTAAGATGCTTTACATCGTTTACAACATTTAGAAGCGTCAGCCCCTATGACACCACTGGCCGGGAGTCCGAGCGCCTCATATCAGTGTTCTTCTTGCCAATTGAAGTGCCGTTGTTGTAAGTTTTTCGCATTTTGTATTCCAACCCCTCCTACTGATAAGATGTACGTGTCCCGTCGACTAAGTGAAATGGCGGTACCCAAAGGAACGTATTAGTTGAGAAATCACAGCACTGCCTTGAACCAAAAATTTTCCTTTAGTCCGTGAGTTGAGGAATTGTGTAAAAACAGTGTTTCTGGTGTTAGGATCAACGTAACGTCTAAACAGCGCTTGCAACAGGAGTAATTTGCCTGAGCTACAGGTATTTGTGTAGCAGTCGTGTTGATTTGCATAGCGGTGAATGGGAAAGAAGTGATAATGCAATTCGACTCTTTTGCGGAAATGGAAAATTGTGTAAATGTTGCTTTTATTCGTGGCAAAAGGACAAAACCACCTTTGGCTGGTCTTTTGCTCACTGGTGTGACTTGTTGTGCCTTTGGATGCTGTGGAATCGTGCTAGCACAAGTTTGCTGAGCGGTGAACATGACACCATCTCGACAGGGGAAACAACATGCCACTTTATGCGCGATGGCAACTGAGAAGCACTTTGACAACAAACAATTTGGATATGCAAATCGGATTATGGTTATCCTGCAGCAGATTCCGCATTCTCTCCCTGTAGCATTTAGTAGCTACTAATTCTATGAATTTGTTTACTCATTAATTGTGTTTCAAAGTGATATTGTTTTAATTACTGAGTTGGGATCAGTACCTACTTACAGTTTGATGTTTTACTCAGTGTGTTTATGCAGATCGAATTGGAACAACAGAATCTAGTTATGAAACAGTAAAACCATAAATGAACAGCTTGTTCAATTATTGCTCATTTATGAAATAACAAATGAGATTTTGGTATCGTTCAATTTGCTCTGAACTTGTGGCGATGCATGCACGAGTTTGGTGAGCAACCACTTCCTTCTCCTTCAACCCACATAAGCAGAT